TACGAACTCAGAGGCACGACCATGTTTATCAAAAAGAAAATCAGAACTAACATTATGAAATTTTGTAAATCTGTTAAAGGGGTGGAGCCTCTGGAACAACTGTACAGAAAACCTCAAATTGTGCACCAGTGTCTTTCACTTTATAAAGAAGTTTAAATGTTTAACTCTGGACAGATACATGAAATATGATACTTAGTTTGTGCTGTAGTACTTTGTTGTACTGTTACTGATTTGTTTGTTTCCTCCTGCTGTATTTATGAAGATGAACTGGTGTCAAGATGATACTCTGATAAAGGAATAAAGGGCAGGTATAATAAGCTTAAGCTTCAGCTGACACCTTTTCGGTCTGTTAAATATGACTGTCTGTGAATTAATGTCAAAATATACCAAAATAAAAAAATAAATAAAGTTGAAAATGCTCTGTTCCACCTTGTGATGTCATGATGTGGCAGTTTTCAAGTTAATGGCTACCTTTTGCCTTTTGTTCGGTCGAGATTGACATTTTCACGGCTGAAATGATCACAGTTATTCTAGTGAAAATGGATGGAGTTTAAAAACACAGTGGAGTGCTTTTTATATTACCACATGACATCACAAGGTGGAACGGAGTGATTTCTGTTTAAGAGAAAAACTCATCTTAAATGCAGGTTTGTGTGTTAAACATGTGTGAATGAAATAAACCCAACTCCAGGCCTGTTTTTTGATGAGGAAACAACATTACTTGGGTTGTAGTTTTCCTAAATCCTTGGACCCACTGCTTCTACTTGAGTAATATTATTTTAAAGTACAATTACTTTTACTTGAGTACAATGTTTGGCCACTCTGCCCACCTCTGTGTAATATGTGTGAGCAGATTGTGCTGGTGAGGACAAAACCGCACAGGCTCAGCGTTGTCATGCAAGTGTTTAAATCACTTCATGATAACAGTTAAACATAGCAAATAATTCTGTCCATTATTCAATAAACTATTCTCCAAAATAGACTTTTCAGAGCTTTTGTCCATGTTATAGTCAGTGTTGGGAAGGTGACTTTTAAAATGTATCCCCCTACAGATTACAGATTACATACACCAAAATGTAGTTTGTAACAGAATCCTTTAAATTACTCAAGGTGAGTAACGTAATCTGAATACTTTGGATTACTTGATTTGCTGTAGAGAACAAAGACGAGGATATCGTAACATAAGATGTTTTGTCTGATAAAAGAAAATAAAAAGCCCAGACTTTCCTTAAACGTATTAAAAATATTATTGATAGAAGAGGAGACACGTCCTCACAGCATGATTAAGTCCTGTTAAATCCTGTTTTAGTCCTGTTTAGTCCTGTTTTAGTCCTGTTTTTAGTCCCTGGTTTTAGACCTGGTTTAGATTTTAGATCTAGTTTAGTCCTGGTTTTAGTTTTAGACCTGGTTTTAGTCTGGTTTAGTTTTTTAGTCCTGGTTTAGTCCTGGTTTAGTCCTGGTTTTAGACCTGGTTTAGATCTAGTTTAGACCTGGTTTTAGTTAGTCCCTGGTTTTTAGTTTTTCCTGGTTTAGTTCCTGGTTTAGACCTGGTTTTAGATCTAGTTTAGATCCTGGTTTTAGTTTTCCTGGTTTAGACCTGGTTTAATGTTTAGAGTGGAATTGCCTGGTTTAGAAAGAAAAAAAAAAGGGTGGGGAGATAAAGCCCAAAATGAAAACAGGAAAATACCGCCATGTAATCCATTTATTTCAACAAAGTAACTGTAATCCAATTACCACTCATAAATTGTACTCTGATTACGTAACTCTGGTACATGTAATCTGTTCCTCCCCAACACTGGTTATAGTTGTCTCCCTTCTCATTTACCTTCTGAAGTTTTATTTGGAGCAAAGGTGTAGGTTTGGCCTCAGCTTTGGTTGGGACATCATCAGCTAACCTCCCCATGAAACCATCTGATTACTTGTACTTACTGTAGATATTTGTGAGGTCATGTGTGTATATTTTTCCATGGAATATTGTCAGTAGAGTCTGGGTCTCACAGTGCACGAGTAGAGCTCCGTTTGGGAGGTGCACTTGTGGTGATAGCCCCTCTTTTAAGACAAGTTTAACTGAAGATGAAGCCAAGTAAGTTTCTTTTGTAAAGTTTTTCAAAGTTTGGTTCAGCGTCTTCACTCACGCTGCTCAAGCCGACATCTTCAGGTGCGGCCCTGTCCTGTCGCTTCCCCAGTTTAGGCTCCTGACTCCACTAATGACATCACTCTGTTGCAGCCAATGAAAGAGCGGCAGGTGTAACCCTGTCGTCATATCACTGAATACATCTCAGAACATCTAATAAACAAAATGTGAACTCAAACGTGTTTAATTACTACTATTGAGTTTGGAAAAATATCGGAATAAATTTATATCAAGTCTTTGTTTTGCAAGTCTCAAGTAAGTCTCAAGTCTTTCACCTCAAGTCCGAGTCAAGTCCCAAGTCAAATACAGGCAAGTCCAAGTCCAGTCTCGAGTCACTGGTCCAAAATTCCAAGTCAAGTCCATGTCGTCTGCTTTGAGCTTCAAGTCATTTCAAGTCTTTAAACCAAAGTACCAAATATTGCTTAGATTTTCTGCAATTTATATACATTTTAAACTATATTGTACTTAAAAAATCATAGTACATTTATATATGAGTGTTTATATAACAGTTGTAGAAATTAATTTAGTTAATTTTTCCTTTTTAAATGTCTTGACAAGATCTTAGCGTGAATCATTTCGGTCAGAATAGAAAGAATTTAGATTTAAAAGTGTTTCTCAAGTCACAGGCCTCAAGTACAAGTTCAGTCCCAAGTCTTACTCCATTTTATCCAGTCAAGTCTCAAGTCGTAAAAATAGTGACTCAAGTCTGACTCAAGTCACGACTTGCACGTCCCCACCTCTGTTAAGTTGTTTTTAGAAATGAATATTGTGATTTAAATGTGTCCAAATTGTAACATAATGATCCACAGCTGTCACAGATCACAGTGTGTTCTTTAAGTCATTTCATAGTTTTATGTAGAACTTTTTTTTTTTTTTAGAGTAGTAGTTAAATCATTATACGTTTTACAATCTGACTTTTTAGTTAATAATTGTACATCTTGGTTGGACACGGGCAACAGACATACGCAGAGATAATTAAATTACTGACAAAAATAAAACAAAAATCGATCAATAATTATGATTCAACTAATAAAATTTCATAACACCACCTTTGTTTTATGAAATGTTTAAACAGCCTCCTTTGTGCAGAATTTTTTCCTGCATTTTAGAAAAACTTTGTAAAAAAAAAAAAAAAAGAAATTCGATCATAATCAAGTTTCATGTGATTGACTTTTATTAACAGTTATATTCATTTTAAATTGCCAGTAGCTTGAAAATGATCACGTATGATTTCAGTTTAGTACATGAAGAGTTAATTCAATCCAGATTATGACCTAAATAAAAAAAAAAAAAACACGACTTACAAAATTGTGCAACTGCCGTATATCACGTCTTATGTATGAGTACGATTTGACTTTTTTACTTCTGATGATTGCTGAAAAATGACTCACAGAAAAACCACAAAATACTGGATTGGAAGGAGTTGTTACAAATATGACTAATTACAAAAGATAAGATTTTTTATTTTTTTTTGTGGATGACTAGAGAGCACTCATCATCGTGACCCGATCCGGTTCATCATGCGGCCTCAGACTGGTCACGCTGCGTGCCGTTTTCTGATTCACACAACCAGAAAACAAACCTGGAAGAGTCATTTTTATTTGACAAGTTTGAATATTTATTTACCGTCTTCACCCTGGATTACTGGAGTTACTCATAGACTGTATACAGATGTGGACAAAGGGAGAAAAAAAAAGAGACAAAAACAAAAACAAAGAAGTCGTCCCGGTCTATGATACACGTCTAACAAGTACATGAGTATAAAGTAGATACACGAGCCTTCACATGAATTCAGATGCAGTGTTCTGAAGGCCACATGGTTCAGTCTGCTGTTTAGTGTGCTGCTGTGTGTGAGCAGCAGAAGCACAGGTTTAGTGACAGTCAAGTGTCATTTGTACAAAACACTCAGAGTGCACAAGTGGGAAAAGCAGTGTGGAGCTGCCAGACGCACACGATACTGACGGAAGTGGAGTCAGACGTGTCTAAAAGTAAATGTATTTATGTGTGTGTTTACCTCCACTGTTGGGCAAGTTACTTTAAAAGTGTCATGTGTGATTTATTTATGACTTGTTACTGTTGTTTCAGAGTAATTTGTTACATTACAATATTACTGTGTTTAAAATGGAAGGTATTACATTACTATTACATTACTTTTAAGTTACTCTCACCAAAAGAACTGTGAAGATGCTGAACTTTTGCATCATATATGGACTGAACCAGGACTAAACCAGGACTAAACAAAACTGAACCAGGACTAAACCAGGTCTAAACCAGGTCTAAACCAGGTCTAAACCAAGACTAAACCAGGTCTAAACCAAGACTAAACCAGGTCTAAACCAGGACTAAACTAGGACTAAACCACAGATGAACCAGAACTGAACCAGAACTAAACCAGAACTGAACCAGATGTGAACCAGAACTAAAACAGGACTGAATCAGGACTGAACCAGGACTAAACCAGGACTGAACCAAAACTAAATCAGAACTAAACCATGTCTAAACCAAGTCTAAACCAGGACTAAACCAGGACTAAACCAGGTCTAAACCAAGACTAAACCAGGACTAAACCAGGTCTAAACCAGGTCTAAACCAGGACTAAACTAGGACTAAACCACAGATGAACCAGAACTAAACCAGAACTGAACCAGATGTGAACCAGGACTAAACCAGGTCTAAACCAGGACTAAACCAGAACTGAACAGAACTAAAACAGGACTGAACCAAAACTAAATCAGAACTAAACCAGGTCTAAACCAAGTCTAAACCAGGACTAAACCAGGTCTAAACCAGGTCTAAACCAAGACTAAACCAGGTCTAAACCAGGACTAAACCAGAACTGACACAGAACTAAAACAGGACTGAAACAGGACTGAACCAAAACTAAATCAGAACTAAACCAGGTCTAAACCAAGTCTAAACCAAGTCTAAACCAAGTCTAAACCAGGTCTAAACCAGGACTAAACCAGGTCTAAACCAGGTCTAAACCAGGACTAAACCAGGTCTAAACCAGGTCTAAACCAAGACTAAACCAGGTCTAAACCAGGACTAAACTAGGACTAAACCACAGATGAACCAGAACTGAACCAGAACTAAACCAGAACTGAACCAGATGTGAACCAGAACTAAAACAGGACTGAATCAGGACTGAACCAGGACTAAACCAGGACTAAACCATGTCTAAACCAAATCTAAACCAAGTCTAAACCAGGACTAAACCAGATCTAAACCAGGACCAGGTCTAAAGCAGGACTAAACTAGGACTAAACCAAAACTGAACCAGAACTAAACCAGAACTAAAACAGGACTGAATCAGGACTGAACCAGGTCTAAACCAGTTCTAAACCAGGACTAATCTTGGACTAGAACTTGGAATCTAGGATCGCCCTTGAGAGAACCTCCGAGCGCGATCGGGCGTCAGCTGTGGTTCGCCCCATGGAGCGCGGAGTTCTGTGCCAATCCTTTCGCTCGCGGTTACCCCATGGTCTATGCAGGCAAGTTTCACCTGATATCGCGGTGATTTTAGTGAATTTGTATGAAGAAAAACCCACCACTTCAATCCAGGTTAAAAAAGCATTGTGACACATGTTACTGACATTTGTACTGAGTCAAATATTATAATTTTTCCCCCCTGTAATGCCGAACATTACTGCGTTACAGCAAAAAGCAACACATTACAGTCATTTGTTACTTTTATAACACGTTAATCCCAACACTGATTACATCTATATATTTTAGTGTTCATTTAGTGAATCCATTCCTTTGGTGTTAGGGTCTACACTGACTGTGTGCTGGAGTGAATGATAGTCTGAGGAGTGTGGATTGACAGTCACTCTTTGGTCAGTCGGCCCAAAGGCAGTTTCACTTAAACGTAAATGTTTTGACGTTCTTTCCATGTACGAGTAAGAGTATGTTGTGCTTTCTTAAATGTTATACTGGCCACGTTTACATGATGTCTTTTAATTCTGAATGAAATAGTTCGGAATTCAAATAGTCTTCAGGTTTACGTGGAAATAATAATTCTGAATTGAGGTTTACATAGAAAACTTGTTAAATCGTCTTTATTTAATTCCGCTCAGCGTCTGGAGGTGGGGAAGGGTTCTGATTGGACAGGGGGCGCACAAATGTATTTACGTCGACCGGAAGAAAACACACACTTCAGCTGCTACCGGCTTTTCTGTCATCTCGGTTTGTCGTTGCGCCACGGACAACAAACATGATCCAAACTTTTTGCGCAGTCGTTCCGATGATAATAAGCAGCAGCTCGAGAATTTTATCATCATGTTTTACGTCTGTCAGCTGAGGAGGAGAAGGGAGGAAGAAGACAAACTGAGTCAGCGGCTGCTCTACCTCAGCCCACTCCCACATCCCGCTCACAAAACCAAAGAGACGTGGATAAAAGTCCGAAGCCAGGACTGGTGGAGCCGGATCTCGTTAAAAGGGTGACACAACGAGCATGGACTGAACAACCTGAATTATTTTTAAGAAGAATAAACGTGAAACATGATCGAGGAATAAATTAATTTGGCTTTAAAATCAGAATAAACCACCCACTTACTTCGGAATTAAGTTTAATTCTGAATAATCATTTTCATTAGGAATTAAGTGTTTATATGGCCCTTTCAAAGCAGAATTACTTTTTATTTGGCGTTAAAGCTCTCATGTAAACTTGGCAACTGTTTCAAATAAAATAACTCTAATGAACTTAATGATAAAGTCAATTTTGTCTGTCAGTAATGTGTATGAACGGAAGCTCCACACTTTGCAACACATGAAAAACAACATTTATACAAGTTCATCACAGGATTTCATTGACCCATGTGTTTACCACAGCTGTCCACCGGGACTTCTGACATCCCCAGTCTCATATTTCCACAGGTTAAGAGTTCATTCCACAGTGCAGTTCTTTTGAGTGTCCACAGGCGGTGTGTATGTGCACGGGTCCCTTTGGGGTGTGTCCTCGGCCCCTTCATGTTTGTGTCACTGGAGCATGATGTCTTTGAGGTTCTCCTGGAGGATGGTGTCTTTGACGGCGTGGAACACAAAGCGGATGTTCTCTGTGTCCACTGCGGTGGTGAAGTGGTGGAACAGTGGCTTTCCTCGGTTTCTCCTCTTCCGGCTGAACGACTGGACCAAGAACGCCTGCAGACACAAGACCACAGAGACCAGTTAAATTCAAATGAAATGAGCCTGTTCCTTTATTTCTAAATGAAACAGCTCTAATTTCTCATTTGGTCATTCTTCACTCTTATCTTACTTCAAGTGTTGTCATAAAACTACTATTCCAAACTTGATTAAATACTAAGGAAAAGACTCAGTTCTCAGTACAGATTCTGATACCACAATGATCATTACAAATAGGGATGGGCATTCGATGAAATTTCATTAATCGAACGTTGGGAGAATTAACGATCGATTATCGATTAATCATTAATGTTTTTATATTAAAATGATCATCATTATTATTACTGCTAATCTGCATAAATAAATTCAACTTTACGACATATATAAACCATCACCACTCTAGAGCCACATCAGCACGTTTGACATTATCATGTGTTTAATGCAGCTTTGCACAAGTCTCACAGAAACCAAACTTAAAACTGCATGCCTAATTTGCATAAACTAAGCAAAGAAAACAGAAGCAAAAAAAAAACAGCTCCTGTGCACTGATGCGGTTCAACTTCTGTCGGACTAAAGGACACGAGTCAGTGGAATACAGGTTAGTGTGACCATATTTGTGTTTATCAAAATCAGGACACCGTACGGGGGGAGGGAGGTGGGGACTCGTCATCGACATTGAGTTATTCTCACCTGGTAAAGCTTTTTAATGTTTTTCAGTGTCCTGGTGCTTTGAGGTCCCTGACACCCCCTCTGGACACCGAAACATATGTGCTGCTTTTTACACTGTGCACATGGCCTCACACTTGTCTCGACCGGGACGGAAAGTGTGGAATTTCTTGTCCAAGTCATCGTTAAATGCACATTTGTGCTTCAGCGTGTTGCAGACTGACCGACTGTTTGTGTCTGCTCGCTCCTGAGTGCAGAGAGCTACGAGAGACGCTCAGTTTAATGGCCCAATGAAAAATAATGAAAACCTGGACATTTGCATCACTTTATAAAAAAACCCAGATGGCCAGGACAGGACATGGAAAATGGACATCTCCGGGGAAAAAAGTGACATTTGGTCACCCTACACTACGCAGTAACCTACATTCAGATTGTCAATTAAAAATGAACGTAATTGACAAAATTCTTAATGATCAATTATCGATTAATCGAGTAATCATGCCCATCCCTTATTAAAAACACCTTTTTTTAAACATTAAACCATAGTAGTTTTACTTTTATATAACCACGTGGTTTTATATGTGTGTAATCAGTGGTCCAGGTCGGTTCCACAGTGGTCCGTGGGTCTATACTAGTCTGTGTGTATACTAGTCTGCGTGTATACTAGTCTGTGTGTATACTAGTCTGTGTGTATACTAGTCTGTGTGTATACTAGTCTGCGTGTATACTAGTCTGCGTGTATACTAGTCTGCGTGTATACTAGTCTGCGTGTATACTAGTCTGCGTATACTAGTCTGTGTATACTAGTCTGCGTGTATACTAGTCCTGCGTGTATACTAGTCTGTGTGTATACTAGTCTGTGTGTATACTAGTCTGTGTGTATACTAGTCTGCGTGTATACTAGTCTGCGTGTATACTAGTCTGCGTGTATACTAGTCTGCGTGTGTATACTAGTCTGCGTGTATACTAGTCTGCGTGTATACTAGTCTGCGTGTATACTAGTCTGCGTGTATACTAGTCTGCGTGTGTATACTAGTCTGCGTGTATACTAGTCTGCGTGTATACTAGTCTGCGTGTATACTAGTCTGCGTGTATACTAGTCTGCGTGTATACTAGTCTGTGTGTATACTAGTCTGCGTGTATACTAGTCTGCGTGTATACTAGTCTGTGTGTATACTAGTCTGCGTGTATACTAGTCTGTGTGTATACTAGTCTGATAGTCTGCGTGTATACTAGTCTGCGTGTATACTAGTCTGTCTGCGTGTATACTAGTCTGTGTCTAGTGTATACTAGTCTGCGTGTATACTAGTCTGCGTGTATACTAGTCTGCGTGTATACTAGTGCTGTGTGTATACTAGTGCTGTGTATACTAGTCTGTGTGTATACTAGTATATGTGTATACTAGTCTGTGTGTATACTAGTCTGCGTGTATACTAGTCTGCGTGTATACTAGTCTATGTGTATACTAGTCTGTGTGTATACTAGTCTGCGTGTATACTAGTCTGCGTGTATACTAGTCTGTGTGTATACTAGTCTGTGTGTATACTAGTCTATGTGTATACTAGTCTGTGTGTATACTAGTCTGTGTGTATACTAGTCTGTGTGTATACTAGTCTGCGTGTATACTAGTCTGTGTGTATACTAGTCTGTGTGTATACTAGTCTGTGTGTATACTAGTCTGTGTGTATACTAGTCTGTGTGCTAGTGTGTGTATACTAGTCTGCGTGTATACTAGTCTGTGTGTATACTAGTCTGTGTGTATACTAGTCTGTGTGTATACTAGTCTGTGTGTATACTAGTCTGTGTGTATACTAGTCTGCGTGTATACTAGTCTGTGTGTATACTAGTCTGTGTGTATACTAGTCTGTGTGTAAACTAGTCTGTGTGCTATGTATCTATGTATTAGTACTGATACCTGCTCAAATGAGAATCTAGTTGTGATACTATTTTTAGTGTTTAGAATCTCATTTTCAAAACTTTTAACAACTCGACTTGTTTGTTTGGCTAACGTCAATGTTGCACTTTCTCGGAAAACCTAAGAATTGATGAACTGATGGCATGACCATGCACTTTTGACCCGAGGGCAAAGGAGATGCTCCATCATTTATGGGAAAAGTATCTGAGTTCTGCCAGGAAATATGGTTTCCAAGAATAATTCACTTTGCATGTTTCATAACAAAACAAAATACAAAATGTTATTTAATCATGATATAAAATCTAACTGTGACATTGCCTCGTGCCAATGAGTCAGCACTGGACATGTAAACAATCACATTAAAGTCTCATAAGGAGAAGGATGTGAAAATCTGTACAATTTTAAAAAGACAATGTTTTTGTTTACCCTCTCACTGCCAGCCACGTACACATACGTTTGGCAAAACATTATAATAAATAACCTTAATTAGCCTTAATAATACCAAATTTATAATGAGAGTTTATTACAGGGTTCCCACTCTTTTTCACTGACAAAATTTCAAAACTTTTCCATGACTTTACGGCACTTTATGACCTAAAGTGAATTTTCCATGACTTTACGGCACCTACATGTGTAGAATTCATTAGACTTTTACTTTTAGGCTAAATATGAAATGTTAACTCTTTCCACTCACCTTATGGTTTGGGATTAAAGTTTTTGAACATTCAAAATCCTGTCAGTGCATTTATTGTCGTCTCTTTTAAACAAATGGTGCAGACGTTCAGAAATAATCAGAATAGCCTCATGAGAACTTAACCGAACGCTGGAGTTGTGTGAAAGAGATACTAAAATTCAATGCCTTTTCCAAAACTTTCATTGAAATTCCAAATTCCATGACTTTTCCAGGCCTGGAAAATGACATTTTCAATTTCCATGACTTTTCCAGGATTTCCATGACCGTGGGAACCCTGTTATTAAGAGTGATTCAGACTTAGGGTTCAGGTATTAAGTATTTACTAATGTCTTCATTAACCCTCTGGTGCATAGCGGTCACTACAGTGGACAGCTACTTAAAAGTAACTCTCTCTTTAATGCATTGGTTTCTGTGGTGGAACTACACATCAGCCTCTAGAGCGCCCTCTGCTGCCATTGTCCATTGAGCTCAATTCAGTGGTTAGTCGATGTAACTGCAAGTAAATTTCCTCTGAATCCAAGATGGCCGACAAACAGCTACCCCTACTGACCACTGCTGGTATATCATGTCAATCCTTCTATACTAGAAGAGCCCCACAGGTAAAAAAAATATGATGATATACAGTAACATCTAGGGAAGGATATTATCTGTTTGGAATATGAAATTTTTATGTCCAATATGTAGAAAATTACAATTAACCATGTGTCCAGTGAAGTGGACATCATGCATCACAGAGTATATTTTTTGTAACACAAGCCATATAATTGCTTCACTGTTTGGGGCACTTCAGGAGACGTTCAAGGCAGCAGCAGACCCTGAAGCAGCAGATCATTCCTTTCAAAGGCCTACTGTCCATCAAATAATACATACCAAAAAAGCCCAAACCCTGGGGAGTGAAATTGTGAGTAACAGCAGGAACCTCAGGCTATATGAATTGATTTGAAGTGTACCAAGGCTCTGTAAGTAGTGGTCACATCTGTGGATTGGGAAAGGCTGGAGATGTGGTGATGCATCTTTGTGATGACATAAAACACAGAAATCACAAGGTGTTTTTTGATAACTTCTTCCACTCATTGAGGCCTTGAAAGACCAAAGCATCTATGGCACAGGTACCTGCAGAGCTGGCCAGTCCCCTGAAGATGTTGCCAACAGATGGGTCAAGAAGAAAAAAAAACAATGTCAAAAAACCCTTTTCTGTGGCCCTTTACAATCAACACATGGGTGGGGTTGATCTTGTTTAGCAATGTACCCCCACAGACGACGTAACAAGAGGTGGTACATCTGAGTATTTTTTCATTTATTGGATGTGTCCATTGTAAATGCCTGGCGCCTCTACCTGATGTCTGGTTTGGAAAAGATGAAACTCCTCCTCTACAAAGCTTCTGGCTAATCCTGAATCACTTTTAAAGGTCTTATATTACACCAAATGGAATCTTATGAGCTTTAAACCATATTATAATGTTGCTACCTTATCAAAAACATACCCAGAGGTGAGCGCTCCACTGTGTTTTTAAACTCCATAACACATTTAACACACAAACCCTGGATATTTACGCTGCTTCTCTCAAATGGAAAACACCCTGGTCCACATTGTGATATCTTGTGGTAATACAGGAAGTGCTCCACTGTGTTTTTAAACTCTATAGACGCTTTATTATAATTATTTGGATGATTTCAGCCCTGGAATTGCCAGTCTCTATTTAACAAAAGGCAAAAGGCAGCTGTACACTTGAAAAACACTGCTAAATGAAATCACAAGGTGGAGCAAAGTATTTTGAGCTTTCTCGATATAGACAGACTAATAATAAAGGGTTACTTGAGCATGTGTGAATGAAACAAAACACAGCTCCAGGTCTGTTTTTGAGAAGATAACAACATTATAACATGACTTAAAGCTCACAGGAGTCCATGTTGTGTAATATAGAACTTTTAATGGGAAACACTGGTTCTATTTTTTTATCTCACCTGCACATCCTCCAGCCGCTGCGGGTCTCCTCTGAACTCAGGGAAGTTCTTGCGGATGTCCACGGTGCGGATCTTCTCCAGCAGCAGGTCGGTCTTGTTGAGGAAGAGGATGATGGACACGTTGAGGAAGAGCTTGTTGTTGACGATGGTCTCGAAGATGTTCATGCTCTCCACCAGCCGGTTGGTCCGCCGGTCCTCCATCAACACCTGTGCAGAGTAAAAAAAAAAAAAGAAAAAAAATCTAATAATTAAAACCCAACGCAAAACATGCTACAGGTCTCCAGGAAGAACAGTTGATAGCCAAGGTCAGCTAAATAAAATCAATCAATGAATCTGCCCAGGGACTGGAAATTAACACTGATACTACAACCTCATGTACAATGCATCTCTCCTGTTAAGGTTAATGTAAAAATTGTGTGCTGTCCCTGTCTCATAAAAAAAATAATTAAAAAAATTAATAAATAAAAAATAGCATTAGCATTAATTCGCTCGATGGTAGGTGGGTACTTTTTTTATTTAACAAATCGCTGCTATTTGATCGTGATGTATGTAATCCGCTAAATCCCGTAGGAAGAAGGACAATAACGTCTTTCTCCTTGATAAAATTCACCAAACATTCTCTTTATTCCAGCTTTAAATCCTCGATCTCGGGAATTGTTACCAACACAGAATGTATAGCTTCATCTACATCCATTTTGACCGCTTTGTTTACTGTTGTTTTGGACCACAAAAGGGAGTCGAGTTTGACATCATGGCTTCACAGCTCTATGATTGGCCAGTGAGAGGTCTCCAACTTCCGAGGTTCTCGCAAACCGTCTAGTGTATTTTGATTCCTGATCTAGTCGCTGGAGAGAAATGAAATTGAGCGGAGACACTAGGTGGTACCAGCCTGACTACCATTCCAGTCTTTTCAGCTCCAAAATCAATTTCGATTCTGCAGCTTTAAGTATGTTGATGTCAACAGATGCCAGTGAGAGACTGAAACTAAACAAAAGTACAGTGAGACAAAACTGATCCAGATGTGTTATGGAGCTGTGATTTATCTTGAGTAATGACAGATCAACTTTGTGTGAATAAAAGTTCAAACATTAAGAGACTTTATGGGCAACTACAACCAGTAAAGAGTCTTATTACATAAACCAGGATCTTGGCTGAACTGATACTTGGGAGCCGGGGTCAGCCTTATCATCAGAAGGCCCTCTAGTCAGAAGGCCCTCTAGTCAGAAGGCCCTCTAGTCAGAAGGCCCTCTAGTCAGAAGGCCCTCTAGTCAGAAAATCCATGTTCAGGTAGTATTTTCAGTATACCACAGATCTTGTAGGGTATTTTCCAAATTTTCATCTCAAAGTTCATAAACACATAAATTTTTATATGAACTTCCAATTTTGTGAACAAATTGAAAATAAGAGGCCTTGATATTTTTAGCTCAGCTCGAAGTATATGTACTATTTAGGCGTGTCATAAAAATGCTCCTGTTCTGTCTGTCTGTCTGTCCGTGAACCATGGCTGGACAAATCTACACTGTTTGATTTACAGAGTCCATATGAATGTCTTTAGATTCCTCAGGGTAATTGCTCTTTCCAATTCTTGAATTATGTCACAGTGACCTACTTTGTGGATCTTATAGGGCAAAGTTCACTTTTCCAATGCATTTCAATGGGAAGTAGATTTGCTTATAATATAAAGGATTTTTACAACAAGATCCTTTTCACTATGCCAAATTATTATCCCTACCATGACCTTTGTCCCATACCAGCCATTTGACCTTGATCCATTTTCCAAGGTCACAGCAGCCATTTCAATTTTCACATGGTCAAACTTCAAAAGCCAGACAAATCTAACCCTAATGTGTACACTACAGGGCCTTCTGACTAGTGGGCTTTCTGATGATAAGGGTGTAACCTTGGAAGCCAATAACAAATCCAGCAATTTTTTTCTTTATCATCGCTGATATCTGATACCAGTATCAGACTGGTCTTGTGGTCATGTGGTCTTATACCTGTATAATCCCACAGTGGTCCATGTAGGTTCTAAAGTGGTCCATGGGTGTATACTAGTCTATGTGCTCTAGATCTTTTTAAAGACATTCAGGAAAAGTTTTCTTCTGTCCTGTGAATGTGACTTTTTTAGTATCGATCCCTGCTCAAATGAGTACCTTGTTTCGATACGAGTTTGAGTCTGGACTTTTCGATACTTTTGCCAACCCCACTCCAATTACAGCATCATGTGATGGACAAATTGAAGCAGAGACAGGCCTCCTCCTCTGACCACAAAGGCAGCCCTGTGTGAAGGTTAAATGGCGTGTCCAATGTTTTGCCGAGCAGGAAACGAAGCATATTTGACCTTTTATATTCTACAACACTGTTTGATAAACTACAGTAGTATTTTAAAGATTTGTTTAAATATAAAAGACTCTTTAAACTTTGTCTAATTCATTTAGGCTATTGAAAGCGTATGATGCAGATGACTTAATTTTTGTAACTTCATATCAACACATAAAAATACATTCAGAATAAAATATAGATATAAAAAAACTAAAACAACTAAAAAGCATTGTGATCCAAAATTGTGAATTGATCTGATTATTGTAAATTATTTTAAAATTTCAGTGTCATATTTCTAAGTAGTTGCACAGTGAAGTGGTTTGGAAGAACTTTACGTCAGATGCCCTTCCTGTCATAACTGTCTGTTACTGTGGAGGAGGCAATAGAGTGAAGCGTTTTACCGAAGGAATTCAACCAACTCATATTTAACAATTTGGTTAGCAGAAAAAAAAGAAGAGCAGAGAAGGGAAAGCGAATCCGAGGCACAATGACGCAAATGAAACATTTTTCTACATTTTCCCCCTGCCATTTTCAGTTGACGCTGGAAGAGTCTGACCATTGTTTGACTAAGAATGAGATTTTTGGAGGGAAAACCAGTTCTTTATTTGACAAACTTTTTCCATTTTGAAGAAGTGGTGCGGTGGTTAAGACACACAGCTCAAGCAAGGTCATGGGTTCTATGCCCGGACCAGTGTATTAATGTGTAGAGTTTGCATGTTCGCAAGTCCTCAAATTAGGGATGGGCATTCAATTAAATTTTCTTAATCGATCGTCAGTAGAATTAACAATTGATTATCGATTAATCATTAACGTTTTTGTATTAAAATGATCATCATTATTATTACTATCTGCACTACTAATCTGCATAAATAAATTCAACTTTACGACATATAAACCATAACCACTCTAGAGCCACATCAGCCCGTTTGACATTATAATGTGTTTAATTCAGTTTTGTGCAACTCTCACAGAAACAAAACTTAAAACGGCATGACTAATTTGCATAAACTAAGCGAAGGAAAAAAACAGCTCTTGTGCGCTGATGTGACACGACTCAGGTGAACACAGGTTAGTGTGACCATATTTGCGTTTGTCAAAACCAGGACACCGTACGGGGGGAGGGAGGTGGGGCCTCGACATCGACATTGAGCGACTCTCACCTGGCAAAACTTTTTCCCACTGGACACTGAAACATATGTGCTGCTTTGTACACTGTGCACATGGACTCACACTTGTCCTGACTGGAATGGAAAGCGTGGAATTTCTTGTACAAATGATCGTTAAATACACAATTGCTCTTCGGTACGTTGCAGACTGACCCACTGTTTGTGTCTCGCTCCTTCTGAGTGCAGAGAGACACATGTCTGGACCCCTGTTTGTCCCCGGACACAGACATTTGGTCACCCTACGCTATGCACAGCAACCTACATTCGGTTTATCGATTAAAATGAACGTAATCGATGAATTTTTTATGATCAATTATCGATTAATCGAATAATCATGCCCATCCCCTAGCTCAAATGTGAACATAATACAAAAAATAGACTTGCTCATCTCACATTTGAACAATAAAGCAATAATAATAAATGCTGTGACAGGCCTAGCTTAAAGGTCGTGTGGAGGATTTTTTTATAGTTTCAAATTGTCAACGAAAGTTCAAAATAGCGTTACAGAGATGCAGCAGCCTTGCAATTATGATGTCCAAAAAAATAAAGAATGAAAATCCATCAAATGGGGACAGAGTGGGACCAGATAAACATTAACCAATAGATAACGAGGGTACCTAAGTTTCGAGCGTAACTGACTTGCCGGTTGGGATTACGTGGTTTACGTTCGCATCTCACGCATTCCACATACACAAGACGCCGTTTACTCGACCGACGCAACGGTTCTTAGCGGCTTTTTCGAACTGTAGTTTCCTCGCTGTTAGCACAAAGTTTGTTGCGATGTCGGACAAGAATTCACGACCAGTTCGCCACAAAAGAAAGTCAGTTTTTGAGGTTGCTTAAAGAAGAAGAGAAGAGGTAAAGGAGCGAAGCCAAACGAAGGTGATTCTTGGAGATTCCTTCCAGCGATGGCGTGCGCTGAAGCAGACGAAGGGTCTAAAGACTTGAAGAAAGGTGTTGGTTGCTAAATGACTTCTGCACAGGTGACTTAAACAGCAATTCGTTCGGCAATTCGTTCACGCGCAGCCGATGTAAATAAGCATGATTTCTAGCGTAAGGAGGAGGCAGGAGGAGGTGTTTTGTACTTAGGGAGCTGTATCCATTTGAAAAAGGATAAACAGTCCCTGTATTTCACTTTCTTTGGAAAATCCTCTGTACAACCTTTAATTCAAGAGGTAGACAACTGATCGAATTTGGAATGTGTATCACGTTTCAGTCATGTGTAATGGTCAGTGATCGTCATGAGTGTTTTTAATGGAGAACTCTACAGTCAGTTCTCTGTCTGTAAAAATGTGGTTTGGAGCAGAGTTTGAACTTTGGAGGAATAAATTGGGCTATTTTTGTGTTATATGGCAATAATCATAAGTTGACTGATGACTTTTTGAGCGTGGATATTTATTTTCACTTTACAAACACACAAACCACCAAAGAAAAAAACACAGCATTATCACTGATGGTTTTCAGATTCAAGAATGTAATAATATCATAACTGCAGTTTGGGGGAAAGAGTCAGTTTTTCCTACTATTAACATTATATTTTCCTATAAAATATCCAAAGGTACAGAGGTGGGAGGTACTCAATTACATTTAATTCAGTAACCTTTAAAAGAAATTGTACTTTTCAGAGTACTTTTCTAGCAGCATTCTTTTACTCCTGTTTCAGTAATATTTACATTTAAGTCACTTTTATTTCAGTAAAAGTTTTGATTTCTCTTCCCACTGTAGGTGATAAAAGCTTTGGTTTCTTGCACCTCTCCTTCAAATATGAAGTCAGTTTTTCAATTTCTGTATATTTTGTGTCCCTAGAAAATGACATGTGCATTATTTCATTATTTATAATTTGCCCTTCCAATTCTATTAACTTTAAGTTATAAGTAAGATGTTATGTAGGGATGTAACAATAACCCAAATATCGTGATATTGTATCGTCAAAGTTCTCACAGTAATATCGTGGACCATCACAATATATCGAATTACAAGTCTCTTTGCTTAAATGAAGAGTTATATTGCAGCAATAGCTAAAAAAGACGGAGAACTGCATAGACCATGATCCTTTGCTCCATTTCAGCGTAAACTACAAGAAGAAATAACAGTTCTAACACTTTTAAGTTTTAGTTCTTTGGATTAAGTCTTGTCAAGGCATTTTAAGAGGAAAAAGTTGCATATTCACAGTTTTGTTCACAGCCTCCACAAAATATCGCAATAAATATCGAACAGTGAGATGTATATCGTGAAAATATCGTACAGAGAGATTTGGATATTGTTACATCCCTAATCGTGAGCCTCCCCACCATATCGTGAACTTTCCCACGATATCACAATAAATATCGTACTGTGAGGTTCATACGGTGACGATATCGTTTAGTGAGACTTGGATATTGTTACACCCCTAATGTTATGTCCTGACAGTTACTCTTTAGTTACTCTTAGTATGTTTCCCAAATACATTTTTACTCTTACTTGAGCAATTTCTTGGACCACTACTTTTTACAACTTAGTGACTAGAAACTAGAACTGTCTATTTCAACAAAAACAGTATTTTAGCTCACCCCTTATGCATTAAAAGGCACATATTAGGCCATTTTCTGATCTGTGTTATATTTAAGTTAAGTTTTCTCATCAAAAACAGACCTGGAGTTGTGTTTTGTTTCATTTACACATGTTTAATACACAAACTCTGCATATTTAGGATGAGTTCTTCCCACAAATAGAAATCACTTCCACATTCTGATGTCATGTGGTAATACAGGAAGTGCTTCACTGGGTTTTTAAACTCCAAACACCTTCACTAGAATCATTTGGATGATTTCAACCCTGGAATTGCCTGAGCATTTTGAGCTTTGGAGATCTGGAGAAACTTATAATAAAGAGTTACTCAAAAACGTGTGAATAAAACAAAACGCAGCTCCAGGTCTGTTTTTGATGAGGTAACAACATTCTAACATGGCTTAAATCTGACAAGAATCAAGTCAATATAGGACCTTTACATATTATTTGTGTATAGAAAGTTGTGAGCTGAAATCCAGCAGTTACCTGATCATATTCTGACGATGAGACCATGAAGAGGATAGACGTGATGCCGTCGAAGCACTGGAACCACTTCTGTCTCTGCGACCTCTGACCCCCCACGTCCACCATCTTGAAGGGAATCTTCTTGATGAAAAAGTCATGCTCCACGATGCCCTTGGTGGCTTTCCTCGCAAACAGGATGTCCTGCTTACTGGGCACGTAGTTCTGGAAAGAGCACAAGGCTTTGAAAGACACATACTCTGGTAGGCAGTAGTGTTGTCACGATCAAAATTTATATAACTGCTCAAATGAGTATCTAGTTTCGACACTAAGTCTAGTATCAGTTAGTACTGTATTTTTTTAGTAATGTTTTTTTTTCATGGTTTTATACTCCTGTGTGACTTATATATTAAAGTGTTCACAGTGAAGCTGCGAAAGGCTCTAGTCTTGTGTGTCAGTATCTGCTGCTCCTGTTCCTCCTGTACCACTGTCACTTGGCTCTGCTGCGCATGTCTCCTGCAGAAAGAGCCTTTGTCCTGTCTGTATCATGTCAGTCGATTGCACCATTACTTCTGTGAACCACTGAAAATGTAACATTTAAACACACTTATAAAGTCGACTCAGAAGACTGAACATAAATTCCCCCCAGAAAAGAAAATCATATTTTGCAGATTACAAGATGTAAGTAGCAAAAATCTTCTCTCTTCTTTTGTTATTACTACAACTTGACTTTACACAGGAAATGTCGGTTCCTAGTCCCTGATTTTATAAAATAAATTTCCCCCAAAATGTGCCACTTATATATGTTTTTTCTTCTTCATTACACATTTTTTCGGCTGGTGCGACTTAAGACTCTGGAGCAACTTATAGTCCAAAAAATACGGTTATCTGATTTTCTATATTTATGACAACATGTTAGGGTTAGGGTAACTAGTCTACTAGTAACAATTATTTTTAATTGCTGCACTGTACAACAATCAGAGAGCAGAATGAGCTTCTCATTTTGGGCTGCCACATCTTACTTTCACCAAACCTAAAAAGGCTGTTTGGTATGAAGTGTCCTCAGTACATGACAGCTAACTGCATTGCAGGTACTGTTACAGTTACTATTATTATAACATTACTATTACCTAAAACAGGCATGTCCAAACTATAACCCGTGGGCCAAATGCGGCCCTCAGACAAATTTTTCTTGGCCCTCAGGCTTCCAGGTGAATTGGCCCAAATTACCTTGCATCAATGAAAAATCCAAAAAAAAAAAAAAAAAAAAAAAAAAGCGAATATTTAATATTTAGTGTATGATTTTGGGGATCTTAGCATGAATAAAAGACTGATGGCTCATTTTAATGTGTTAAACATGCACATATTTTAATTATTCACTGTAATCTAGCATCAGTCTCCGGCCCTCGATCAGCCCTCTGCTTCATCTGTGTTTAGATATGTGGCCCTTGATGAAAAAAGTTTGGACACCCCTGACCTAAAACAAGTCCCATGCATTTCACACATAACATACTGTTTTGAAAATCCTGTATGCGTCAAAGACAATGTATTAACATGTTGTATAAGTTTAACTTTCGCTTTTGACGCTCTGAGTCTCTGCTACCTTTGTTCTCCGTGCTAAGTCACTCCCCCTTCAGAGCGCCATCACAACACACTCAGCGTACCTCCAGTTACTGAAAGTACTGCGCATCGCCTCAGGTTTGTGAAGTTAAAGTGTATTGTTTTGCATCCTGCTTTTGTACATTTAAGAAGAACTCTCATGTGGGAGCATGGGGGGAGGCAGACTTGACACTCAAACATGCATGAATGACATCTAAAACCTTTTCAGGCCCGTTTTTGATGTGAGAACAATGTCATAACATGGTAGAAAGCTCTAAAAAACGTGACTCTGCATAATACCCGCTCTCTTCTAAACTTGCCTAAACTATATAATTGTACAGGAGCATGATTTTCAGTAAACCCCATTGTTTTCAGTGTATTTCTGGCTAATATCTACTTGTACTAAATACTAAAAAAAGCACTCACCAGCTGTCCAATCCGGTCCAAGTTGTCCAGGAAGTACTTGACTGATTCACTCTGCACGAAACACAAAACATAGGGTGGACATGTTACACTCAGTTACATAACATTTTTGAGACAGAGAGATTTTATTTCATCTACAGTTGTTCTCAAATCACTCTGAAAGCTGACCAGGAAGTGAAATGAAATAAAAATCTTTAATATGAAACTGTAGATAGATGGACTGGGAATGGACACAATTAGTATATCGCAAAAACTGCAATTTAAATTTCTGAAAGTACCAGAATTTCCTCCACAACCAACAAAATATCTTAATCTTCTTAAAACAGCTGACGTTGTTGTTTAGATCTGTACAAATTCTGAAATGGAGTTCTTGAATTTGTTTGTCAGTTCTGGTAGCGTAAAAAATGTGAACTTTGAACACAATCCATTTATTCAAAATATTATGGATTACATGGGCTTTAGAATTATGGATAATCTAATTTTGAAATGTTCCGCAGTAATCACAAACCACAAAGTATCAAAGCAGCCGCAGTTGCCAAAACAGTATCAAACTACTTGTATTGTAATCTCATTTGTGACATAAGCAGTGACGTAATACTGCACAAGGACAGAATGACAAATCACATTCACATTTTCTCCAGCAGACTCAAAAAAAGTTACATAATCACAGCAGCTACAAAAAAATGTAGTCTATACCTGAAGTCCACAAAGACTGCGAATGAATTATACACTATGACATACACATATATATTATTTATGATCACCAAAAAGAATCTGATGGAACTCAAATCAGACACAGAACCCAATCATACATCATACGGACTTACATTAGCCATGGAAATAATTCAGTGTTGACCACTCGTATTCTCATTTGAATGGCACGTGTGTGCACTGTTGGGCAAGTTACTTTAAACTGTAATGTGTTATTTATGACTTGTTAATGTCATTTCAAAGTAATTAGTTACATTACAATATTACTGTATTTAAAATGGAAGGTATTATATGACTATTGCAGCACTTTTAAGTTACTCTCACCAAAATAACTGTGAAGATGCTGAACTTTTGCACCGTATATGGACTGAACCAGGACTAAACCAGGACTAAACCAGGACTGAACCAGGACAGAACCAGGACAGAACCCGGACAGAACCCGGACTGAACCAGGACTAAACCAGGACTGAACCAGGACTGAACCAGGACTAAACCAGGACTGAACCAGGACTGAACCAGGACTGAACCCGGACAGAACCCGGACTAAACCCGGACTGAACCAGGACTGAACCAGGACAGAACCCGGACTGAACCAGGACTGAACCAGGACTAAACCAAAACTGAACCAGAGCTGAACCTGGACTGAACCAGGACAAAACCAGGACTAAACCAGGACAGAACCCGGACTGAACCAGGACTGAACCCGGACTGAACCAAAACTGAACCAGAGCTGAACCAGGACTGAACCAGGACTAAACCAGGACTAAACCAGAACTGGCCCAGGTCTAAACCAGGTCTAAACCAGAACTAATCTTGGACTAGAACTTGGAATCTAGAACTGCACCTGAGAGAACCCTGAGTCCATGGAACAGGATGTCTGCAAGGCGCAATCGGGCGCATCTTTGTACTGAGTAAAATATTACTATTTCTTTTCCCTGTAATGCCGAACATTACTGTGTTACAGCAAAAAGCAACGCATTACAGTAATTTGTTACTTTTATAACACATTACTCCCAACACTGCGTGTGAGTGTTGTAGTAGAAAATATGGGACACCCATGTGACACCAAGGTAAGGTAAAAATATGTAGGGGAGTTACATTTTCCCTCAATGACTTTTGAACAAAATTGGTGTAATTTCCAGCATTTTGATGGATTTTTTAGTTTTTTCAGTGCTTTGCTTCTTCAGTTCTGTATGAAGCAGTTTGGATGAGCTGCAAAATGTATTTGACCAAATAAACTTTTGTCCAGTTGACAAACTTGAATTTGTCCTTTTGCCATGGATTCTACCTTGACGACTGAAGGATTTTACACACATACTCTGATGATAGTGAAAGTCTTTTATATCCAATAATCCAGTAAATCACATTATAGAGAAATGGTCAAGGAAATATATTTCCCAGGACATTTGGCCTTTTTTCTCATTTTCCATCATGCATGTCTGGAAAAAATGGGCAATTACTTTCCAGGATTTTCAGAATTCCTAGGATGCACGGGAACTCTGTATATCATGCAAGGCCGATCAAATATTGTAGTTAATAATGTTATGGTCCTATATTGCACTATTGATTCATGATGGTTCAGTTATTCTATATGAAAATACACAGATTAGATTTTTTTTTTTTTTTAATGAGATAAAAATAACTTATGATAGAACTGGAACTAGCCAGGTGGCTGCAAGAAAAGGGCCTATTAGATGTTGACAGCATTTGGATTGTATACCTGTACTGGGGCAACACACATTCAGCTCAACTACATGGAAAAATGGGTACACAGCCCCTTTAATATAGATTTTTTTCCCCCAACTCCCTCCACTGCTCCACTGGTTCCTCACCCACTCCCCCCACACGCCTGCTGAATGCTTTAATGCAGTAGTTTGATAACCAGATTGAGTCCCATACGCTACATCCAATTTCTTTACATTTCCTTACGTTGGCCGACTCCAGTAGACATCCAGTCTGCGGCCAATTTAGTGAACGCTGCCCTCATGCAGAGTGGTAATGTGGTTTTAGGAGCAAAACGCAATTGATTACACAGCTCGAGAGGGGTTTAAAGCTGCCGGGGTAATCGCATTTCATAGTTTAGGAGGAGCGGAAACCAGCGGCCATTTGGTCTTCAGCTTGTCCTGGTGACGAGGAGGGGGGAGGTGGGATGAGGAGGCCCGGTTGGCAGCGGTGAGCTTTGAGGTTAGTGTGGAGAAGAGACTGGCTCCGTGCTGTCAGCTTTGAAAATGTCGAAGTGCAGATAAGAGGTTCAATGAAGGAGGACTTACGGAGAAGAAACTGCCAAGAGCAAAAGGGGATTTGAGTAGGCATCAAGAGAACCAGAGGAGCTGGAGAGGTTTTAAGAGGGCTTTGGCAAAGATTTAAGCTTGTAAAGTGAAAAAATGGAGAGATAGTTAGCACGTACCAGAAAGTAGCCAGTTTGTTGACACTTGCATAACCTTTGAAATGAATAGGGACGAGGGCTACACAATATAATTCAATATTGTCTGATTCAATATCAATATGGCACCAAATGAAAGACATTGCAACTACACCAGGGTCTTTTTTAAAGCAGACCTATTCCGCAAAATCAACACATCAGAGCTTTTAACCATGTTATAGTTGTTTACCTTCACCCAAAGTTGGATGTGGAGTGATTTGTGCACATTTGAGGAATCTTTGATCACTTGTTTTCAAGACGATTCACGCAGGATTCAGCAGCATCGCAAAGTCAAGTTGGTACAAATGGAAAAAAAAAAAAAACAAAACTGCTCACTAGTGTGATGTGCAGCTCTTCATCAGAGGTGCTGACTCGTTGTTGTGATGACGTTTATGACGCCAGACTTGTTTCTTTTATGAGGTCATTTTAGATTATGACAAATTGTAACAACGACCCACAGATGTCATTGTGTACCATATTTTTCAGACTATAAGTCACACCTTTTTCATGGTTTGGGTGTTTCCTGCGACTTATACTCTGATGCGACATACATATTTAAATGTTCACACTGAAGCTGTGAGAGGTTCTAGTCTTGTGTGTGAGTATCTGCTGCTCCTGTTCCTCCTGTACCACTGTCACTTGGCTCTACTGCACATGTCTCCTGCAGAAAGAGCCTCTGTCCTGTCTGTATCATGTCAGTCGATCGCACCATTACTTCTGTACCAGAAGATTTAACATATAAACAAACTAACTTTAAAATTTAAACAAATGATGAAGACAACTGAGAAGACTGAATACAAATGTCCCCAAAAAGAAAATCATATTATAAGCTGCAAGGAGCAAAATCTGCAGCTGAAATTGAGCAGCAAAAAGAAAGTTTGGAGTGAGTGAGAAACTTGTGACACTGGGAGGATGCACCATGAAACTTTCCTGAAGTCACTGGATGGATGGACAAAGCCTGGACTTCAATGACACCGAAACCATCCTGTCGGGATTCAGAAAGGCCCGAATAATTCTAACTGGAACTGATGCTGAGTCTGACGACAGCGACACAGAAGAGGAAGCGATGCTCCTTTTACCTCCGGAGTTACTCAGAAGTGACACGGAGGATGAAGAATTCAGTGGATTTAGTGATTTGGAGTGGGATGGAGAGTTTGGTAAACTTGTTCTCTTCTGTTATCTATATAGCAGACACAAGCACAATATGTTTTCTTCTTTAAATAAAAATGTGTTTTTAAATTTAAAAAGTACATTTGCTGATATTTATGATTTAGTCCAAAATGAGCCTTGGTTTGATCTTTGTTTTGCTCATGTCAACTTTTCCTTTTTGAGTCTGACTTGTAAAATAAACAATGCACATAAAGTGAAAATGTTTATGAACCACAAAATCTGATATTTTCAAAGGAAAGACACAAAAATGAGACAAACTATATCTTGAGTGAAGCAAGAAACACAAAGGTTCAAATCATTTCATATTGTCCACATAAAGCTTTTGTCACTCACAGTGGGACAAGGAACCATGACTTTTACTCAAGTAAGAGTACTGTTACTTCAATTAAAACATTACTCAAATAGGAGTAAAAGTATGCTGTATGCAGTTTCTTTAAAAGGGTAAACTGAGTCCAGATAATAACAATGATTTTCAATACGACTTGGATGATTTATTATTAAATTACTTTATACTATTAGTCAACTTGTCACATTTAGCTGATTTATTGTTGCCGTGTTACTAGGCGCCATTTAGACTTTAGACTTTAGACATTAAATTCCTACGGGAGACGAAACAATCTCCAAACTCCATGGCAAAGCGCACTACGGATGACAGAACTCACAATAGGCACTAGCAAACTATTAAACTAGCACGCATTGGGCTATTTACTGGGATAAAATGTTTGCCATTACAAAATAAAATCTTTTCTTT